TGTTATAAAAATTTGTGAATATATAAGCCTTGCACTAAGTTAGTCTTATTTCTGAATTAGCTACTTAAATTTCAATGCTTGTGAAAGTACTGTGTTGATGGACATCTGAAAATAAGTGAAGAAAAATAAATGAAGAGTCAGTCTTGCCCTCAAAGTTCTTCAATTTTCTTAGAGACAAGATACATTTGTATATGATTCTTGTGAATTACCAGAAAGCACCCCATTTAGAGTCTAGCAGGGAAGGGACTATGAATGTGATTTATATAAGATAGTATCTCAAGGGTGGCTCAGTTGCATTGGCTCCCTGCTCCAAAGTCCTTTTTGCTTTCCACCATCAGAGTGGGTCTCCAACTTCTGCAGTATCAGAATTGCCTGGAGAGCTTGTTAAGACAAGTTCAGCTTTATAATTTGTAGCTTGCCGCTGTTATCACTCAATACCACAATCCTCTGTTTATGTGTCTGGTTCTCCAGAGAGCTTCACCAGGAACCTTCTTGTCTCTGTATTCCTGGGTTCTACCCAATTGTTTGTTCCTGAATAAATTTGTATTGAATAAATTATTTGAAAGCAAAAATTCAATGGGTGATAACAAATTTGATATTCATTTTTTTTTGTCCTGATTTTTAAAGTTTTCTCTTGAAAAGTAGGAGATTGGTAGTAGTTCTAAAGTCCTCCTTGGTGACAGTTGGCTGACAGTGACTGGAGTGTTGGCCATTACACCATAGCTACCATAATCACTTGCAATCCATCCTGCATTACACCTGCACCCCAGGTCAAATTCATGCCTTCTCTCTGATTCCCTAAGAGGCTGGGTTTTTACTGATGTTTTGAATAGAGGACCAAGAGATCCTAGAGGGAAAAAATGGTTAACATCTTGGCACACGATGCCATCACTTACATATAAAATGTTGTGGTAGCCATATGAGAAGTAAACCAATGCATGGGACAGAGGTAGGAGAATGGGGGGAGGCACTGGTGATGGAAGAACAAGGAAAAGGAGAAGGCAGAAGTGTCCCAGCTGGCTCTGGAATATAAGGGAAAGCTTCCACTTACCAAGTGTTACTCCTTGCCAGGCATTGGAATCTACCCTTTGTAAACATGTTCTCTAGTCAAATGGTCAATCCCTGGGACGTAAATATGGTTATCCCCACTTGACAAGTGAAAGACTAAGATTCATAGTGGTTAAGCAATATTTGCCCAAGTACATTTGGAATTTAAGTCCATAATTATCTGACTACTGTATTTAATACTACAATGAAAGCATGGGGAGACGGATCAATGGCATTTCAACAGTCAGCAACAGCATGAGGGCTTTAAAGTACATTCTACCACATCCAGGCAACTGAGAATGGTTCTCATGTAGGGCATGTCAAGGGACATGTCTGTAGATGCTGCTAGAAAGATCCAGGAGAGCCAGGCTGTGATTGGCTTTAATCCATGTTAAAGAAATTGGACCTTGTTCTGAGAAGCCTCAACATGAAGATAATAGAGAAAAAATATATACCTTCTCTTCTTAAAACCTTGGTTCAGACTAGATTGTGTTCAGTCTTGATTTCTACACCTGGATAAATTTAAATATATAGAACTGGAGAAGACCAGAAGCAGCATCAGAGAAAGGATTCAACACTGAAAAGGCAAGGATAGAAAGGGTCCCTGCATTCTGTCATTTCACAAACAGCAAGGTAAGAGAGAATGTGGACCAAAGTTTCTAAGTACTGTAAGCAGAGAATATTTTGCATTTTGAGCAAGACTTGTATTTCAAAAATCTTCAGCTGCCTGCCAGGCCCACAGTCCTCTGAAAAGTTTTGCTTTACATGATGTGTCCTTATCATCCTGTGAAAACCAGTAGGGCCATGTATCCCCCCCAAACAGCCCCATAGGCTAGATCTGAGAGGGCCAAGGACATTTATCATGAGAACCTTACCCAACGCAGGGACATGTTCATAGTAACTAGTGGCAAACAAACTCAATCATATTCTCTGTTGGGACATTTTCAATTAAGATACACAGAAAGGAAGGACAGAAACAGAAGTTGAGAAGTAAATGCCAAGTCAGCATTTGGTAGCATCTTAACACTGAGAAATGCTTCTTGTTGGATGCTCGGAGGAGCCAATATAACAGGTAGATAAGAGCACTCATTCAAGAGTTAGAGTCCTTCCTTAGGTTCACTTAGCAGATCTGTGACCTTGGGCAAGTTCCTTAGCCTCTGAGTCTCATTTTGCATATATGAAAATGTCAGTCTGCCTGAAAGCAAGTTGGTAGTTATATAATTTATATAAAGTACTTAGGAAGTCCGTGACATATGGTAAGTGCTCAGTGGCTATTATTATTACATTCTAAAAGATATATTATATTCAGCTTTTCCAGCACACCTGAAAGTGCAACTGCTGAGACAGGATTACCTGGTTTCTTTTATTCTTCATAAAGCCTTATAAAAACTGTTTCTTTCCCTTGAAATCTGAAAGAGATGAACGTAGTAAGCTTAGAATTTACAAGAAAAAATCATTCCAAAAATAGTGAATGAGAGGAAACAAGCTATAATACAAAGAAATTTTTGAAATTTTAGATGGAATCATGAAGGATAAAGTCATAATTGGTTACTAGTGAATTTAAAACACATTGTGTTTTGTCACTGTCCTTTGAAGTTGGCATCAAGGACAACAACCACGGCCCTCCACCTACCCTTGAGTTTCTCTGCCAATGACAATATTGAGCTTAATGAACCGTGGCTCTGATGAGATATGATAATTTTTGTTCTTATGTAGCTAAGTACTTAATCATTGCATCTCAAAGTACTAAAACCCTTTGAAGCTTGAAAGAGATTTAGGACTCATAAATTATAGTTACTATAATGTATTCTGAATACATTATACTTTAGAGTTTGCAGACAATTTCAAATACATCTCATTTGATCCTCACAATACTTCTGTGAGGTAAACAGGTTGTCTGGTAGACAGGAAGGATAGAAAACTCAGATTCAGGTTAAAAGATTAAAAGATTAAAAGATTCAGATTCAGATTAAAAGGCTGATTTGGGTTCTCATACCTATTAAGTTGTAGGAGTAACTCAAATTCAGATCTTCGTGACCCTCAGTCCCATGCTACTTTTTACTGAGCAATGAGTGGACAACTTTGGAACTTAACACCCGTAGAAGGCTGAACTTTGATTTTGAGAAAGATACAAGTGAGAAGTTTAAAAAAAAAAAAAAAAGCTTGCACAAAAGGTGTCCCTCCACATGCCCATAGCATCCTTGGCTAATCAACCATAGAACCCCATTAATTATCCTGAACCTGGCCTCAAAGTCCCCTCCACAAAGTGTTCTAGGGAGTTACCACCAAAGGTCAGAGCAGGCACCAGTTTTTAACTTATTTCCCTAAAAAGAAAGTTCACTGGGGCTCATTCAAGGAAGCTGGAAAGAACTGAGGCAGAGACTAACTAATGCTTACCAATATGCAAGCCAATATCTTTCTCCTGGGCACATGTGCAACCTCCCTTGCAGTCAAATAAGGCCACATGATTGAATACTGCCAGTGGGACATGAGTGGAAATGGAAAATCCTTTTCTTTCTCCATCTATTCAGTGAATGGAGAGAATTCTGAAGATCTGAAGACAGTAGAGTCTCAAAATAGATGAAAGTTGGGTCTCTGGATGGCTGAATGGAGTAGGTGTACCTCCATTTCACCCTCCGTTTTTTTTTTTTTTTTTTCTTTTTTTTTTTTTTGGTTTTTTTGGGGATTTTTTTAAAGGGGGGGGGGTGGTGGGGGGGGGGGGGGGAGGATTCTGGGACAGGGGCCATTTTCACTACTTGCAGAAGGGTGTCACTGATTCCAGAAGACTCAAGGAGACACCAGAACTCCCTCACTGAGTGGAAAGGTTTTCATTTATTTATTTCAGAGAATATCTGGGTCCATACTTTATAGCACGCTGAGGGCTTTTCTGGTTCCTTTGAACTATGATTGCTTATTTGGAGGCCACAGAGACTTTAGAGCAGTTCATCCACACATTCTAATAAAGGTTCACTTCTACATCCTTCCTTAGGAATTATTCCTTTTTTTTTTTTAAATCACTTTCAGAAATACTGCGATTTTGTGTGGTCTGCTCATACATTTCTTAAGAACTTCATGAATGGTGGTTTTGGTGGGTTTCTTTTTCTGCTCCTCAGCAGGAAAATCCCAAATAGGTTGACTTTAGTGGGATCCCAGGAGTATAAGAGTGAACTATCTATTAGAGCCTGGGTGCTTGATCTAGACTCACTCAAATAAATGTCATCATCTGGAACTTTAAGTTTTATGTAAATGAGGCAAAGCAGCAAGCACATTTCAGAAATCAATCTCAGAAGCCACAGCAGAAACCAGCCTAGCTAGATTTCTGCAATTAGGATTACTTTGGTTCCTACCCATTTCCTAGCCTAATTCCTCTGATTAAATAGATTCTATGAGGTATTCCACACACCCCAAAAAACTCCTCCACTGCTTCAGTTACCCAGAGTCTATTTCTATTGTTCACATAATGAGTTCCTGTATGAGTGCATATGTGCATGACACAACTTATGCTAGTCCCTGGGCTCCCCATTTCTCCAAATGCTGCACCCACTGTGCACTTGGTCTGTTGTGCTTTTTCCTTTCTTGACTTCTTGGCAAATTTCTATGTAGCCTTCATGTTTTAGCACAAGAATTATCTTCTCCACAAAACATAGTTTGATGATCATTAGCACTAATAATGTTTATTCTATAAATGTTATTGTATTTTTACTAGATTATAAACTTCTTCAGGACAGCATTTGTCTATGCATCTCTGTATGAAAGCTGGGATACTTCTTGGCACATAGCAGAGGCTCAATAGGAATCTGTTAGCCGAATGGCTGGCTGGCTGACTGAATGAATGAACATGACTTGATATTTGCAAGGCTCTGGCAGTGAGCATGAGAATCTCGATAGAACAACTATAATTAATATCCCACCCCTAGGCTACACAAAAGTAGTTAGAAAAGAGAGACACTGGCTATTTTGAAATAATTTTTAATATTTTCAAATTTAGTGAGTACACACAGTATACGTTTTAGCAAGAATGAAAATGTGCGTATTGGTGTTTAATAAAATTTACACTACAAAATAAGATGATGTCAGAAAAATCTCAAAAGTAGAAGTAAACATTTAAGTAAAACTAAGTAAACAATATGCTAAGGGATATGATTTTAAAATAAAGGTAGTTGCCTAAATCCAGACACGAGATACTGAGATTTACTTTGCCATGTTAAAAAAAAAAAAGAAAAAAAATCAGAATGCCCTTCATTTTATATACATTTTTAAAAATGTTTGCACATTGTTTTCCTGCAGACAACTGCAGTATAATCAAGTATATAAATGAATTATCAGCTGTATTCCAATCTGACAATAAAAATATACACCACTGTTAAGCATACAGTTCACCTCAGAAAGAGACAACAACAAAACATCACACTATGTATGCATTACATTTCTACTGGTAGACCCACCCAGCCACCCATGCCCCAAAATAAGCCTAGTTGAAAACTACTTCAGCTTCAGAGAAAATGAAAACTGAAGTCTCCAGCACCTTATGGTTTCTAAGCACAGGGAAACATGGTAGAGGGGAGTGAGGGAGAATAAAATGGGCAAGTCCATGATGTGCTCTTCAGTAAAGTCCACTTGTGCACAGCTGCTTTAACACACAGAATGTCTGACTTGTGTATGGGGCATTGTGGGGGAAAAAATGATATTCAGAATTTCATAAAATTTTGGCAGATTCTTCAAAATTCAAAGATTGGAGATAATTTATTCACACAATCATTTCCTAGAACTTCATAAAATAATGAAAATAACACCATAATGGTGGAGAATGTGGCAAGTAAAAGGAGGCTGGGAGAGAGGAATATTCATTTTACTTCCTCTTCTCACCAAATTACTAATTTTACGGGTCCCTGGAAAACAAACAAAAAATCCAAAATGTATTTTAGCAATTAAAGCACTTTATAGACTGAGTACTTACTTCAACACACTAAAGGGAGTATGTAATTCCAGCATAAGCCAACTTTTCTAAAATCCCAGCGACAACCAGAGTCCATCTGTATAAGTTCTGATTAGTGCTCCAAAATGGCAAATAATAATGCTACTTAAAAGAGCACCATGGTTATAAGAAGGTAAGGATTTATTCAGCACAAAAGGCATTTGCCAGTTAAGTTATAATGGTGAAGAAATTCAAAGTTCACCTGTTTCTTTTTCAGAACTTCATGGAGAATGGGATCTCATTTTATTATTATTAATTTTCCTTCTTCTTATAAGGAAACCAATTCAAATCATCCCTGATTTACATAAAAATATTAAAATCTTATATAAACCTGTCTATGGCCTGAGAAATTTAAGGAAATTCACTAAGAGATTTGTGCTAAAACTGTTTCTCTCAGAGAGAAGGTTAATTTTTAAGAAGACATCAACCTCTAAAATAAAATTTTTTAAGGAAAGGATTTGTTTCTATTTTCACTAAATAAGAATGATTTTTATCTAAAAGTTTATACATAGCATTAAAATGCATTTAATAAATTTAACTTCTAAATAAATACTGACAATTGGTATCACAAAATATGGTTTGGTACATTTGGTGAATGTGAGGACTTACTATTAAGTTTCTATTATACATTTTAATAAAAATGAAATTATACACTTCATATACAATTATGCGTTACTTCACTTCATTTATTCAGAACATCAGTTGCCATGAATACTCTCACAACTTTCAAACCCTTTAAAAAGTTGTACCAAAATTAAAAATCATTAGATTTGATAGTGACAAATGAGAAAAACAACTCCTATCAGCTGAATGAATAAGTCATATAAAAACGCTTAGGAAAACAAGTATTATATAGGTAATATAATTAATTACAAATTGCTTTTTGTTCATTACAAATGTCTGTTTTAAACTTGAAGGTGATGCAAAGGTAAGGTTTATGTGATATGTGTGTCTTCGTAACGATGACATTACCAGATTACATATGCTTGGTAACACTGCACCACAGACAGTACTAAGAATGTGCCATATCTATAATGCCACTGATGGTTATGGACTGGGTACCAAAGTGCTGGATTTCCCATCTCGTCTCCATTGTCAGATGTCTTCAGTTGGTTGGAGATGAAGCATTTACCTTCCCCACAGCTTCCTCAATAAAGAGCAGCTTCCGAAGTATATTTGCATAAAATGGTCCATACACTTGTTTGTTGAGATTCACGATGTTTGCATATTGACAGCCTAATGCTTCTAGCTCCTGCTGAATGATAGTAAGGCCTCCTGGCACAGGAGGCATGCATTTTTGAGAGCTTGGAAGACAAAGTAGGCTTTTCATGTATAGTTGGATTCGTTTATCTGAAGGGAAAAAAAAAAGATATCTTCATCTGTCCCATTATTTAAGAACATAATTTGGGGGGAAGGGGAATGGAGGACTGAACCCATGGCCTGGAAAATGCTAGGCAAGTACTCTATTACTAAACTACATACCCAGCCCTTTATTTATTTTGAGACAGCATATCATTAAGTTGCCCAGGCAGGCCTCCAACTTGAGATCCTCCAGCCTCAGCCTCCCAAATAGCTGGGATAACAGGCATGTGCTAAATACATAATTTTAAAAACAAGTAACTGTAGTAAGTTGATTGCAATAATGCTCCCAATTCTTTACCCATCTTTGCAGCCAGATGGTATTAAAGTTCCTCCCATCAAGGGATAGAATATGTTTCCCCATCCCTCGAACCTAAACTGGCCTATGACTTGCTTTGCCTAGGCCTCAAGAGGGACGATTTATGCCCATTCTCTCCACCTATCATTGCCATGTGACAAGGCTGAGCTTGCAGAGGATGAGATCAAGTAGAGAGAACACTAGTTGTTCCATCTGAGACTATCCTAGATCAGCCTGGAGCCATCAACTCCCGAACACCTGGGAGAGTCCAGCAATGACCAGCAGGACAACCAACCTGAGACACAGCTGACCACAGATGCATGAATGCTCCAACAAGACCAGAAGAACTACCCAACTGCCCCCACAGACTTCTGGATAGTAATAATGCTTTTATTTTATTTTTTAAGCTATGGAGTTTGGGGATAACTTGTTATTCAGCAATAGTTGACTAAATTAAAAAAAAAAAAAAACAATCCTTAATGGCCACAATTGCAGTTACATAAACTGAAGCTTAGCTTGTTAATCGGTTCTGCCAGCATGGCCCTCTCTATGGTTTTTTGTTTTGTTCTTAGTTTGTTTGGTTTAGTTTATTTTTAAAAAATAGAAGTAACTTAAAAACAGGGAGTTTCACAATGATATCCAAATTTTTGTTTCTTCATGAAAAATACAGAGCTCTATCACATTTAAGGGTCCAATTTACCACATGGCAAGGGTGACCGCACACCTAGGTTTTCCCAGGACAGTCCAAGTTTACACCTGTTGTTGCAGTATAATTAAAAATAGCACTCTCAAAAGTTTTCCTTGTTTGGACAATAAATCATACAGTCATCTTGCACAAGGTGACTGAAGCACTGAAGAAGAGCCACCCCAATGAGCAGTGCAGTTTGCCACCTTCCGACTGATGTAATGCTCCAGTTATTTCCAGTCTGACAAATGCATGAAAGCATGCAAATGCATACATTCATCAGGCTGCAGCCATACAGGACAACTAGTACAAAGTAAACTAGACCTGCTACAGCTCATGTGACTGCAAGGACTCTCTCTGTTTACTAAAAATACACTGCATCGAATATGGACAACTGTGACATTAATGAAGCTCTTTATCTTCAATACTTCTCCCCTAAATCACATGTTCCAGTCAGATCCAACCTACACCTCAAACTTTCCAACATCCAAGTATTAGAATTGTTCTCTTAACAAAATGCCTGTCACTCATTTTATCTCATCTCATCTCCACTCAGAGTCAGAACATCCCTCCATGTTGGGCCAAAGTTACCTCCTTGCGGTGGCTTTCCCTAGTGTTTACTATCACTATCATGCCATAACACTGCCAGGTAAGCATGTTTCTCTCTCCTGCCTTAGACCCGGCACCCCTGAGGGTGAGGGCTATGTCTCTTTATCTTTATATTCCTGGTCTGGCATGTAGCAGATACATCAAAAATGCTCAATGAACTTCAGTGGGAATGGAATGAAAAAGGTTGATGAAGATAAATACCAAACTGAAAACAACAGAGCCAGGGATGAATGGGACTGGCAAAGGCAGGTGCAAATAACTTAAGTCTTATCTGTTACGTTTCAAGAAAAATAGATTATTCATGTATCACTTGGACAATTGAAAATTACTTTTTAAAAAGTGCAAAAGGCTACAGGCACGCAAATAATCTACACAGCAGGTAATCCATAAATAATTTTATAATCCATAAATAATTTTACCTGGCTTTTATTCACATTTGAAAATAAATTGGTCTGAAAGAAAATTCCCTTTCTAATGATTATTTCAAAAGGTTAAGAACACAGTGGGAAGTACAATCCCTTTGGAAAATGAATAGCACATCAACTAAGCACACAGGAGAGATAGACTATGGGCACTCTGAACAGGGAGGAAACCCGTGGCTAATGAAGTTGAACCTTCCTTACATGACAAGGATCTCTTTAAGTGCTTAATTTACTCTAGCCCAAATGCATTCAGGAAACCCAAAATTAACCGTGTACTAAGTTTCCCTTTAGACTGGTTGCTTGACTCTCACAGGTTTCATCACAGATAATGTCTAAACATTTTCTTGCATGAAGGTTTAAAAAATGAAGTCCTTTCAAAATTGCTATTACACCAAAAGTGATTCTGTTTCCTCGGTTTTAAGAAGACTAAAGTGACAGGAGCATTTGTCCAGTTAGGAGCAGTCAGAGTCCCTGCCAAAGGCGTGTCCTTGGCTTCCGAGCCAAAGGAAAGACACTCCAGTGAGTCACTCAAGTTGCTAGGCCAACAATATTCTGAGTGAGGTTAAAAAATGCTTTCAATTTGCAAAAGGAAAGGAAAGTTGACTGCGGAGAGCTCAGTAGACCAAAGTTGCTTTCCTGGATTTTAAAAGGCATCTCATGCCACCTTTCCCTCTCCCTTCTGACACTGCCAGGACTTTTCTCATCAATGCAAAAACACAGGGCCCATAGTGACACTCTAGCCACTCGGCCAACTGCAGCAGGGCTCTATCTCTGACTGAGGTGCCAGTCAGAGCAGTTAGGAATATGAGCTCTGGAGTCAGACAGGCTAAGTTAGAATCACAACTCTGCCCTAGCTAACTATGTGACCCTTAGAGAGTTACTTAACCTCTCTAGGTCTCCCAAACGTTCACCCATTCTACAAGTACTTAATCAAATGTCATCTACGGACTCAGCATTGTACAGGGATACAGCCAGGAAGAAATATCTACTCTGTCCTCATTTGCTGCTAGTGGGGATCTAACAGTATGTGACAGAGACTAGACAGTGTTTAAGTCCCCATTCTACTCCTCTCCTCCTAGGAACACAATCTCCAGGATTTACACTATTCAGCTGGAGACTACATACTGTGAGGACAGATGCAAATCAGCAGAGGCAGGTACACAGATGAGAACTGTCACAGGTGTCTGTGTCACTATTATAAACTGTCCCCTCAGCAGCAGCTTCTCCTGACACCCCAAATGTTGTAGTGCTGCTCTTTCCTGGGAGCAGGGTTGAATAAAGTCTTGGGCCACCCAAGTAGTTTTGTACAGACTGATCCCCAGCATTCCATGTCCCCAGAGTGAGGATGAGAAAAACCACTTGAGAACCTCAAAAATAAAATATGTCTGTCTTCGTAGGGTACTCAGTGTTGTTGTAACTAGAAAACTTGCAGGTTAATACTAGAATGTCAGTATATTTTAATTCTACACTCTTCCTCCTCCTAGTGTTTCTTCTTCAACTTCTGCAGCAGGCACCTGCTTTTTACCTCACACCAGCCTCTTTCCCTTCTCAAGGTCATAGTGCCCTGATTTTATTTAGGAAACTATTTCTTCCCTTTTCTCATCAGATATTACAGGTAAAGCAGACTGTTCCTAGATTCAGAAACTGAGCACATGACTCAAGCTTAAATTTCTCCCCCACAACCTAGAGTTAGGCCAACTGGAGTCAACAAAATTCAGTGCTGGGGTCATTGTTTGAGCTAACAGAGAAGCAGACTCCTTGTTTTTGCTTGACTTAACCATGGACAGAGTAGGCTGAAGAGGAAGCCATCTTGCTGTCATGAGAGGAGCTATAGGTAGAAGGCGGCAGAGTGGAGAGGTGAAGCTGGGAAACAAGTGAACTCTGATTAAACTGAACTGCTGGTCTTTTCAGTTATGTGAGAAAACAAATGTTCTCTTTGCTTCAAGTAGTTTCGAAGTTTAGATTCTTTGTCACAGGTAGCAGAAAAAGGCCTAACAATCTGCACTTCTTCAACTCACCAACATGGCTTGACACTAAGACATTGTCCTGGCCAACAAGTACAAAAAGAGGTCACCTGACACACTTCCCAGATTCCCAGTCTTTTTGCATTTTGTCCCTCCTGACCAAGAAGGATGCCTCAGTTCCCTTAGGGTGGCTCACAGCAGAATCAACATCTACTTTCTATGAACATATTGCCATCTGGTTTGAATTGTGTATTGGTATATTATTTTAATGTTATATTGTGTCACTTTCTTCATAACATCTATGGCTGGATAAAGACAGTAGGCCCTCAAACACCCCCACTCACCCCACTATACAAGATGCAGTGAATCCCGATCTTTGAAAATATTAATATTTATTTATATTTTTAAAATTTATCCTCCAAAGCCAATATAAATTGAATATTCTTTATCTAAAATATTTGGAGTCAGCTGTGTTTCAGATATTACATTTGTTTTTTTGGATTTGGGAATATTTGTATGGATTTTACTGGTTGAACATTCTTGATTTGAAAATACAAAATCTGAAATGCTCCAGAACTGAAACTTTTGTTAATGTGCTTAAGACTAAAATATGACTGACCTTTAAAATTAGTCAAAAACAGTAAGTTAAAGCAAATTGGAACAGAAGCAGAAACCAATTTTTTAAAAAATGAGCAACTCACCAATCAAGGACCAGATAGAATTGTCCTCCTCTTGAATGCTTGAAAATTGACCTATGAGATTAGCTTGAACCTCAGCGTTTAAAGTGGGTAAACCTCTCTCTGTCAGGGTCTTGTTAACCTCAACACAAGTCTGAACACCGATGGAATTCAGGGCTTCCTTCAAGTTAAATGTCCTACAAAAATAAAATGATACCCCTTTAGGGAAAGTTTTTGTTCTTCAGGTTTTTTTTTTTTTTAATATACCAACTTATTTCAGATGTCTACCAATTTCTTCTTATACCAACAATAATTACTTCTAGAATAAACTTAGAAAGTAGTAACTCCTTCCAACCACTAACTCTCCCAATATACCAGAATTTAAAATGCATAAAACCACTCAGTTGTGTACAGTGTCTTAATAGTATGGACCAAAATATGTAGTCCCTGAAATAAGTCTGCAACTCTATTTACATATAGGTTATCAGAAAGGGACAGAAAATACAAATTTACTTCTTGAAATAAACATGTTGTTCTAAGTGGATCCATTCATACATTTCTTTTAAATGTGCTTGGAAAATGAGGCAGAATCAATTCATTTTTCTATGCCTGAGCAGAAAATCTATAACACCAATCAAAAACAATGAAGATATTCACAAGTAAATTACCTAAAACTCTTGACTGATCAAGACCAAAGAAAATAAACTTCTCCCCATTATTACTTTCAAATAATTTATAAGTAATTTCAAGTATACAGAGGGCCCTGAAAATTGTAAAAAGCAATTAAGAAGTAGGTTATTTCATAGGTAAAGAGAAAAGATAGTAAGGGCAGGCATGTATTAGATTCATACTCTTAAGGAATGTTAATTGCAAATTATACTTCACCATACAAAAAAGATCTTTAAGACGACTATGTGAAAAATGGGAATTAAAGGATAAGACAAAGGGGCTGGCATTGTGGCTCAGTGGTAGAGCGCTCGCCTAGCATGGGCCAGGCACTGGGTTCGATCCTCAGCACCGCATAAAAATAAATAAATAAAATAAAGGTATTGTGTCCAACTATAACTAAAAAAATTTTTTTTAAAAAAAGGATAAGACAAAGACCAATGATAGGAAGCAGCACAATGGAGTGAATTAAAACATTAGTCATGGTGTCATGCAGACCTTGGTACAAATCCTGGTTCTACCAGTGAACTTGCTATATGCCTATATTAGCTTTTTGCAGATTGCTTAGCAAGTGCTCAATGAGAAGAAGAGAAAAAATGATATCATTATTGGCATCATTAACAGCAATAAAAAATAAGTCCTTTATGTTCTGCCTTGACTTGAATCTGTTATATTTCCACATTGGACTTGCCTTTGAGGTTCTTACAACCCTCGGGCAGACTGTGGCAAAAATTTTACTCCTGACTTTTTATCTACTACAAAGTACTGCACTAGCTTTCAATCAGTGAATTCTCATTCTAAATGAAAAATTAAATTGTAGCATAATCCAAGTCTTCCTATTCACAATGAAGGAAAAACTCCTGCTCGATTTTGAGATGCATCATCAAACCAAATATAAATGACATATGATACAACACCAGGATATACCTAGACATAATCAAAAAAGCATGGACCTCAACCCACTGTGATTCAGTCTTCAGCACTTCCCATCTCCCCCATTCCCACCCCCTCCCTCCATTCTGCCAATCCCTCTTCAATCCATTTACAGCTTATTTATTATTTTTTAAAATTAGTGTCCTGTGGATACACCAGATGCCAGGACCTACGTGCCACAACCATGCACAGACATACAAAAGTTGGGTCAGGGGCTGGGGTTGGGTTCAGTGGTGGAGCCCTTGCCTCACACTGGGTTTGATCCTTAGCACCACATAAAAAAAAAGTTTGGTCAGATTCATTCCACTGCTCTTCCCTTTTCTGGACCCTTCTTCTTCCTCCTCAAACCCCTTAATCTACTCTATTGATCTTCTATTTTGATCAAATTCCCTCTCCCTTTTTTTCCTTCGTCCTTTTTTTTTTTAATCTTCCCCCTCCCCTTATTTCAGATTAGCTTCCACATATCAGAGAAAACAATGAATCACCTTAAGTTCTCACAATTCCAAGGTAGGTACAATTATTGTTCTCCTTTTACATAGAAAGAAAGGCTCAGAGTGGATTCAGGAATTTATTCAAGCATACTGAACAGGACCCTAACAGAGATGGGATTTAAACACTGGTCTGCCTGACCTGAAAGCCTGTCCTCCTGGTAACCAGGTTCTATATTCTCCACTTTAATAAGCAAGTAGAACTGGATGTTCAGTAAACTTAAAAAATAAAAATTTCTGAAAAGCAATGGGTTACTCAGAGTGAGAAAATGTTAACAGAAGATGTGTTTTTCTTTTCTTTTTCCTTTTCCAATTATAGAGCCTGGTTCCTGGAATATGAAATAAATGAACACGGCAGGTTCATGCCAGAATCAGCAGAAAGGACAGAGCTTTGAGACAATCAGACCAGGGCTCAGGCCTTGGATTTCCCTTTTCTATTTGTGTAGCACAAGGCAAATTCTATTCTTTCTCTAATTTTCAGCTCAAAATGGGAAGTTTGGATCCTATAACCATTCAGGTTCCTATTGTAGAATTTTATCAAGTAATTTATGTGTTCTTTGAGTATCGAGTGGAAGGCTGGTACATAAAGAGGACATGTCCCTGAAAACACCTGGAAGGCAAACCAGCAGGAGGAGCTGACCCACATAAGACCCACAAAAACATCTGGTCATTGATGAAAGTAGGAATTTTCTGATTTGAATAGGATTTCAATGCAATGACCTACATGCAAAATCTAAATGGGATTCTTTCATTCAATGGAAGTATCCTACTGGAAATAAATTTACCAAAAACAAAACATTCTCTAGACTTCAGTCACATCTTTGAAGGACAGAATTGTTCCCACTTCTAAAGACTTCATAGCAGGTTGGATTGGTGAACTCAGTAAAAATTTCACTGCAGAAAAACAATGGAATAAGAACAATTGAACCTGCTGAGACCTCTTTGATAGGACTCTTCTGAACACGGGGCTCAGAGGATTTCTGTTTTTTGTTTTTGCCACAGTACTCTCAAAATACTACCATGTTAAGTAGCAGCACTACACTCATCCTGGAAAACACCTCTCCTGACTATGAAAGGACATTTAAAACTTAAGAGATATTAAAAGGAATTGTAGAAAGAGAAGGTATAAGATAAGCTTCTCTAAAGCACAGTCCTGAATATCACATCCAGATGTCCAGGGTTATTCTTGGTTCTCCGAAACACATGCACAAAGCCTTAATATAAGAGCAAACAGATACAAACACTTGGAACTTACTGTTTGTTCATGCCTTCAAGTAGAACAGCTGAAATCCTTTTTAACCTGTTTGTAAGCTCAGGGAAGCCTTCTGTAACAGCCCCCACCATATTCTTGGTAATTAGGGACAGGCAGGCAATAATTTTCAATTGATTCAGCTTTTCTGTCAGTTCCTGAAGTCGTGCTCCATCTGTCACAAGTGTCTGTATATTTATTTGAAATGTAAAAATGAAAAGGCAACACAATACCATTAAAACATAAAATAAGCAATGTCATATCCAAACTCCCATTTTTATCTGATTTCAGTAAAGTCATTAAACCACATATAACAAAGACCAGTCAATTCAAAGTTAGAACTTAAGAATTAAAATACTGGAAAACTTTAGGGAAGAAAAACATTTACTTACCTCTGGTAAGTCTTTTTTCTGATAATCCCACTTTAACAGTTTCAAGTAACTATTATTTAGCACCACTGTAGGACTCAAGCTTGGTTTGGAGCTATTTTCAGCCCCAGGAGTTAAAGCAGACTCAGAAAGAGAAAGTAATTCTTCATTTACAGATTCTTTTATCCATTCTGTAGTTTGATCAAGAGCACCTAAGAATAAAAAGGCCAGAATTTGTCCCATAGCTGACTGTCCCTTCATTGGTATATTCCACATGACAGATGCCATGTTAGGTAATAAGCATGAATAGAAAGACACAATCACCTCCCTAGTCCAGATGGGGAGACAGTCCTGTAAGCTAACAATTAATTATAACAGGATGTGACAAATGTTAGAGGCACAGAAGGAGAGGAAGAAGCAGAGATTGTCCAGGAGAAGGTCTAAGGAGGAGTTCCATAAGTGACACACGAAGATAAAAAAAGGAGGAGGAAAGGGCTGGCATTCTAGGCAAGAATACTCACACAAAGAGCTGGAAAAGACAGCAGGTGGCACATTCTGCATGCTACCAGCAAATCTGTATTTCTGGTCCATAATGAACTAAAAGAAAGAGTGGCAGCAGATGGCACTGGATGGATAGTCAGAAATGAGCTCACAAATGACCTTGAGTTTTATGCTGATAAGGTATTTAAACTAATAGCATTAATTATGAAATATTTTGGGGTCCTGGCGGTATCTCTGAGTGTTTGATAAGAGCTATATTTTTCTTTAAAATGATATTGAGAAATGACTACATTAATTTCTTAATAAAGGAAAATATTAAATGAAACAGCCAGATTCAATAAATTGATACATGAGAAACACTTAGAACCATTTTGGTATACAGGAAATGTATAGTAAGTTTTAGCAATTATTATATTAGCTCACTTAACTCTCCATACATCTTTAGAGAGGGGATTGCCATCTCCACTTGAATTGGTTTTGATGTCTGAAGCTCAGGAGGGCCTAGCCAGGTTCCTTCCCTGTCATATAACAGCCACCTCACTACTGAAATTACCTGAGACGGAAGTGATCCCCAGGGCAAAAAAAGAATGGGTAGGCTGATCAGTGAATTTTTCAAGACAGGTTTTTTTGGGGAACCTGACTTTATTATTATTTTAAGGACCAGTTAGTGCAGCTAGATTGAGGGAAGGGAATCTCAGCAGATACTCTAAAGAAAAGCTAATGCTTTTTAAGAGAAGAGGCTATCAAGAAAACACACAGAAACTAAAAATCTAGTTCACTCAGGATAATCCTTAGAATTTAGCAAGGGCTATTATAGAAGGGAAGGTGAGAGAAGAAGTGGTAAGAAGAGATCAATGACCTTGAGTCTCATGATTAATGTACTAATGTGACTTGAAAGAATGTGTACCAATGTCTGAATAGGTTGCCCTTTCACTTTAAACAAATTTATTTACCAAGTTCAATTCCTGTGTATTAAAAATATGTATCACTGGAGATGAGATTTTGAATTCATTTAATTTTAAGCATATGCCACTTAAATATTACTATAGTATAGATTATCATCAGATGCTTAAGAGTTATCATTTTCTAAATATTAGTAGTTTCTGTTGACAAATAACTACACCCCACACAACTTGCTCCAAAAGGTGCCTCTGCAAGTGCTTGCTTCTGTAGGTGAAGACAGCCCCCTTCAGAGAATGGAAAGAAAGCAAGAAAAGGAAGGCACCTACCATCCACCTTGACTTACTGAAGTACACCACTTCCAAATACAAAACAACCCTCTGGGGCTCAATTGCCAGCAGACTTCCTTATTTACTGAAGCCCCTGGCTCATGAAGATATTTCTTTGATCCATACATTCCAACTCTTCACCTACAACAGGGTGCTTCAATCTTGGAACTACCGACATTTTGGGCTGGATAATTCTTTGCTGTGGAGCACTGTCCATTCCTAGCCCCTACCTACTAGATGCCAGTAGTACTCCATGCCCCCCCACCCCCCTCACCTCCTGATCCCTGGCTAGGTTGGAACAACCAAAAGTATTTCTAGACATGGTTCCATGTCCTATGGGGATGGAGCAAGGAGGGGCTAAATCACTCTATTTGAAAACCACTGACTTAAGATGACAAGTTGATATTTATTTGTTTTTGTTTATAAGTACATCTTCCAAACAAACCAAACAAAATAAACTAAATAAAATCATACTGAAGGCTATTCCAGATGGCTTAAAGTTTGGAAGCAATATTTCTCTACTGGGCTGTCTGCTTTAGGGAAAAATCCACTTTATTTTATTTTAGATCCAGTTCTAAGGTTCCCCACTAAAAACAAATTGCTTTTTATACCCCAGTTCTTATAAAAATTATACATTTAGTAGAATTTATAAGGTGGTAACTGCTAAGAAGTGCTGACTGAACACAGGTGCAGATTCGGGGCGGGGGGGGGGAGGGAATAGATTGAAATTCTTTCACAGACCCAGCAATTGAACCAGGATAATTTACGAGTAGCTGCTTGCAGCACTGAAGCCAAACCACCCCCAGAATTTCACAATTCTGTTCTCCACTGGCAAATGTTGTTCTTGGTTTGCTAGTTCTGTTTATAAAGACATAAAAGACTTGTAGTCTTTTATTTAAAAGGCATCCAGCAGAGAAAGCAAAAGTGGAAATCATAGTGGATATAATTATAATGTGGCAGTAATAAGCATTTAGGCTGCAAGTTTAATCATTTATAGTTGACACATTTAAAAGCCCATTTAGTTATCTTGAACAAAAGCAACAGTGTGGCTTAGTGGTTCTCAATTTTGGCTGACTTTGGAATCACCCTGGGAGCTTTAAAAAGAAAAATAATGATCCCGGGCATAGCTCCTGGAGATTCTGATTTAATCAGTTTGAGGTGGGGCTCTGGCATCTGCATTTTAATACACCAGGTGATTCTAATAGAAGTCAGACTTGCATAGGATTGGTAAAGCAGAAAGAGCATATGTTTACAGTAGAGTATCAGCTTTTCTCCCTGGAATCTGCTGAGATTTCATGCCCACAAGCTAGTACACTGACTGATCCATGTGGCTCCAAAAGCAAAGTCAACCCTCAAGGCATTTATAACCTTTTTTAAGGGGACAGGAGTAAGAGCTTTACCATTCATTCACTCAACTATTCAATGATAACTACTGAGCATCTACTATGTGCTGGGTATTGTACCAAGTATTGGGGATTGATAGATTAATAAACATAGCCCCTGTACTCAAGAATTTTCTGGTGGAATAGAAATGACTCTATGGCATCTGCTCTTTTTTGTCTAGTGACATCTCACCTTCATTCTTTTGGTACTGATTTTCTTTGAGAAGCCATTTTCCCTCATTCCATGTTTTCCTTTGTGAATATTGATTAAGAGGCCTTGCCAGGATTGGCCTATCTTAGTCATAAAGTCATAAGTCCATCAAACTCTTCCAGGATTCTGAATGTGACTACAGTGTCAGGGATGGCCTATGTTTGAAATACATGTTAACATTCTGACAATGAAGTCTCACTTTCCTTTGACTTTACTAGTCTATATTCCTGATGTTCTTTTTGGTTTCTGGCATTTTAATTTCTCCTTTGATTCCGTGAACTCCCTTCATTTTTCCATTCATTTCCTTTTTGCTATGTCACCCAGTAAATACAATACAAAACAAAAAATCCCAATAAAGTAGCAGAAGTAACAGCTTGGTTTAATTTGGACTTAAGAGACCTGGCTTCCAGTTCCAGCTCCAATACTTTCTAGGGGTATGACGATTTTAAGCATCAGTGTGCTCTTCTTTAAAATGTTCCTAAGTGACTTATGTGTCAGGCAAAGACAATCATAATGGATTTTGATATATTTCTGGAAAAGATATTGTGTGTGTGTGTGTGTGTGTACACGAGCACGTGTGCGTGCTGGGGATCAAAGCCAGGGCTACACTCACTAGGCAAATACTCTACTAATAAGCTATAGCTCATGAAATAAAATTTATGAAAACATCTTATCAAATATGCTCTCTTTCCTAGGGCAAAAAAAAAAATATTTTCCTGGAGTCTGTTCAGAAATCCAGTGTACTTATCAGTATTAATTTTCCAATAAATTTATAAACATATTAGAATAATGTATGCACAAACATACAACATTACTTCTGTCCTACATGAATCTGTGAGGCTCTTATTTTGATATTAGGGCACGGGGCTGGCTTTTGGCAGAGTGACTTGGGGATATAATTTACAGCTGATAGATACTTTGCTTCCTGCACTCTTGAATTCTCCAGCTGGACAAAAATGATACATATGCATAGATGGATTTACTCTATTTGTAAATCTGTGGAAATAGCCAAGTCTATGTGAAAGGTGCAAATGAATTATGGGTCACTAACCCAAGGTTTTAAGGAGAGTTGTAATTAATTTGAGATAAACAAAATGATAATTCAACCCCATATTAAGAAATCTGCCCAGGATTCCAAGCTATTTTGATTCAAGACATAGACAAATTTGCACACATGTGTACATACACAGACATAAAAATGAAGCTCATCACTAAATCTCAGGAAATTACTGCTAAGAAGATAGAGTTTAGGTTTCAGATTCAGGTTTTATGTGGGGTTCTATTTCTCCTAATACTTTTCCCATAGGAGCTAAAATAACACAGTTCTTGAAGTCACATAATTTTTGTTATAAAATGATATTTAGAATCTAGTCCCATCTGCCAGCTAAAACCAGAGATTCCTCCGTAATAATCCCACAGACAGTATCTTGTTTGAATAGAGGCAGGATCCCAGAGAGTCGACATGCACATGCTTTGAGGAAGGAACATGTCTGGATTATCCAGGCTTTATCACCTACTAGCAATCACCTGGTACAAGTATCTTAACCTCAATTTCCTCATTTGTAAATGAGGGTGATGATAGTACCAACACTTCATAGGACGGTTGTGCAGCTTGAATGAGCTGATGAAGTGTTTAGCACATGTAAGGACTTGGCATGCCCAAAGAGCTCAACAAGGTGTTAATTAGTACTGACTATTACTAGCAATAGCAGGGGCCCATTTTAAAGTTAAAACAGCTCCAACTCTCAGGAAGGTCAAAAACAGCTGTCTGCTGCTGTCATTATACCTAATTAAAATACATTAATTAATTTAAAAAATACAGCAATCTGCTTATGTGCCTTCTATAGATCCTAGTCTGCTCCACAGGGCTTAAACAAAGTCTCTGATGGCATCCAAGGGGAGGATGGTATCATGGTCCACTGGGTCAAGCAGAACATGCCTAACTTTGCCACTGTTCCCAACATGGCCCTCCATATGTGCACTTTCCTGGGTGCATCTCTTCTGCTTTATTTCCATACAATTCTTTGTTGACCATTGAGTCAGAAAAGCTTACCCCCATGAGGATATGGGGTGGGGAAGGACAGATCACTTTATTCAGCCTTTGACTGGTACACACTAAATACCAGAGGCCAGAGACAAAGGTTTGTCAATGAGCAGTTAATCAACATCTTGGCAGATGTGCAAAACATCTGGCACCTCAACTTTCTCACCAGGGGATAACAGTACCTACCTTACAAGGTAAATGGTAATGGTGAGAATCTAATGAGACCATACTTTCTCTACTTCCATTTTTCCCTGGCCCCTCTTTTTAATTCTCATTTTAATGTCCATGAATCCTCTGAAACTGCTCCCATCAAGGTTATCAACAATTTTCTTCAATATTTAGTCATACCCAATGGCCAAACCTTAGCCTGCCTCATCTGGACTACTTAGCAACACCTGTCACATCCAATCATTCTGAACTATTTAGCAGCCCCCTGCCCCATCCCACTTCTCCAAACACCACTTTGTTCACTTGTCTTATAGGATATGTCACCTCCTCCTGACTTGCATACTACCTCTGTGGCTATTCCTTCATAGTCTCCTCATCTCACCCTCTGGATGCTAGAGTGCCAGGTCAGTCCCCTCCATGACCACACACCCTCCACAGTCTCACCCCATATAATAATAGTGGTAAGTGCATAGAATGTGGAGCCAGATATCTGGAGGATTCCAGTTCCATACCTTACAAGCAATTTTAATCTTTTCATGTCTCAATTTCACATCCACAAAACAGTGGATAACTTTGTATGCTGTTATAAAATTTAAATTCGTTAATACAGGCAAAGTGCTTAGAATATGACAAGCACTTACGTTGACTACTGTTCATTTCCAAACCTTTATACATCATAAGTATACTGATTACTACCAAATGAATATCCATGATTCCCAGCACCTTCCTGAACTCTATTCTCTTACATCTAAATGCCTACCTGATAGCTCCACACTAATGTCAAATAAGATTTCAAAGTTCATATATAAAAAAAGTGAACTCTTGATTCCACATGATATCCCAACTTTCTCTCATCCAATATCCCCCACCTCACTAAAATGCATCACTATTTACCCAGCAGCTCAGGCCAATGAGTCATCCTCTATTCCTCTATCTTCCCTCGTTCAACCTTCAGCAAATATTACTACTTCTGCCTTCAAATATACCTGGAATCTGACCCCTTCACACTACTTCCACCACTACAACCTGGAATAAGATACCATCGTTTCTGTCAAATACTTGAATTGGTATCTTTGTTCTTATACAATTTATTCCCTACCCAGGAACCAGAGTATTCTTCAAAAACAAAAATCAGATGTTGGTCCCCTGCTCAAAAACTTCTCACTGAACTTGGAATAAAATCTAAATTTCTCTCATTACTAACATGGCTCTCTGTTGCCTGCATCTCCCACAACACTCCCCTTACCTACTCCAGCCACAATATCTGCTTTGGCATCATTTTATTTACAGTTCTCTATGGCTAGAATGTTTTTCCCCCAGGTCTTCACACATTGTTTCCTCATCTCTTTGTGAACTCTTCTCAAATGTTATTTTCTAAAAAGGCAAAACTTCTCCATTCCATCAAAAAACACCACCCACCCTCATTCCTGCCCTGTTACTATCTGTCTCCTAATAACACATCTGAAAATATATGTTTACTTGTCGTGCCTATTAACATGAAAGCTCCTTGGGGACTGTGACTGTTTTGTTCACTGTGGTAATCCCATGGCAGGTGTTCAGTAAACACTTCTTGAATTAATGAAAAAATAAACAGTGCTTAGCATAGTTTCTAGGACAGAGCGAACAACTGTAAGTTTGTGATGTCAATTTCAGAAGGTATCAAAATGACTGAAAGCAAGGCCAAAATAGTGACATTATGCAAAGTGTCAAAAATTAAAGTATCTCTGGGTTCGACCCCCAGTTCCAAAAAAGACAAAACCAAACAAACAAAAAAGAATCCCACCAAAAAAAAAATAAGATTAAAAAAATTTAAAGTATCTTATTTTCACCCAAATTTAATATAAATACATGTTTTATCATACTTACTTGGAGTTTCTTCTAAAATTTCTTGAAACTTGGTTCTTTCGTATTCTACCAACTGGCGTTGAAGGTGTGGTCTGATACTTTTAATTGTAAAATTGACCATGTCTATTTTCATGAGGTCCAGGACATGGAATATTTGTCTAAAAATATTAAATTAAAACAGTTAAAGAGGTGAATAAGAAGTTAAACTGAAATTTATCAGCTATTATCTATGTGTTATAGTCTGCAAAAGATATGGTTCTGAAGTTCCAATCACTGTTTGTCAAGGTCACTTTTCATAGAATTCATATATGTATATTCCAAATGCTTCTTCCACAGGTCTCAAGAGTATTTACTATAGCAGATATAATACCTCCAGCTGATCCATTAAAGCCAGTCATAAACAGAGAGAAAGACAATAAGAAGCATCAACAATTAGCCTTAACAATAATATAAAAAAATTCAAGAAGGAATTTTCATTTGAAAGTCCTTGAAATTTTAAGGAGCCTAAACATAGTGTGCATGGTTTATATTTCTAAGGAAATAAGAAAAAATAAATCAATCAATAAAGTAAAAAAGGGACAGGGCAGTGAGGCACCATGGGAAATTATTTCTTAAAAATGTTAGGCAGCCCTGTGCTGAAATCCACCCTTGCAACTGAGCAGATTTATGGCCATGAAAAAGTCACTCAATGTCACTTGGTCCAAGTTTCCTTAAGGCTGAAAGAGGAGGACATCAACCTTGGAGGGGTGTTATTAACAGTCAATGAGATAATGAGGGTAAAGTGCAGGGGGCAGTGGCACATAGTAGGTGCTCAATAAATGACCAAGATGAACACCATATATTTGGCATTTAATACACAGTAAGATATCTGGAAGCAAGGATCCCACAATCTGCCAGAAAGGAACATAACTAAGAATAAAATATATAAAACCTAATTTATAGATAAGAAAAGTGTTGCTTTGAGAGACTATCAACTTGACCAAAGTCACAAAGTAAGTTACCTGCCACATACAAACCTATTTCCTTTTCCTACCTTTCTAAAACAATTACATAAAACTCAATTCCCAATGTGGGAACATAATAAATACATACATTTTAAAAAGGAAGAAAAGTTCCCATTAGTGGGAAAAAGTATTAGACTCTTCTTTTCTCTTGAATCAAGTTATTGTCTACACAGCTAGCTGAAATTCTAGCAATTTAATGTGCACCTCACTTCCTCAGGAAAACTACAGCAAAGATGGCTAGCTGACCACTAAGGGTCCATGTTATCTCTCTACAGAGAGGTACCTCTTTTTCTGGCTGCAAAAAGTGTTTCCAAAGAGCAGTTGCCTTTCCCAGGTCCCTTTCAATCTAGGTGGGACCATACGACTAGCCATAGCCAAAGAATGTGTCACTTCAGGGCTAAGATGTTTTTACACTGGGTCTGCTTTCCCCATGGTCTCTTTCTATTCCCCAGGTGAATTGAGAGGATCCTGAAAACCTTGGTGGAAAAAGGAAAGAAGGAGCCTGGGTCCCCAAATGGCATGTGGAAGGATGCCCAACCAAGAGCTCCTGAATTGACTGTGACATGAGTGAGAACAAACTTTTATTGGCTAAATCACTGAGAATTCAGGGTTTAGGTGTTATAGCAGCTAGTGACCCTTAGGAATAAAGATGACTTCCTAGATCCTTTATTAGATCAAGTCCCTCTGCAGGAGGCTCCATAAGACCCTCTATTTCTCTTCCATACCACTTACCACAACTGTAATTCACTGTTCAAGCCCTGTCTCCCTTTTAAACCATAAACTCCCTGGTATCAGGAATCATATCTATCTTTTTATCACAGCATCCCCAAGGCCCACTATATGCCAACCAATAACCCTGTCAGATCATTCTGTCTGAAAACTACACACACAGTAAACAACTGGCCTACTCCCTGTTAATGTGGTTTTCTTATAGGGTCAAGAATTCCTTTGGGAGATTGGGATGTAGTTCAGTGATAGTGTGCTTACCTATTACGTGTGAGAGCCTAGGTTTGATTCCCAGCACTGACAAAAAAAAGAATTCCTTAGGAAGACCAGTTATTATTCTGTGTCCCCCAATACCCACATTCCCTTCTGAAGAAACTCAAAGATACTATAAGAAAATTCAAGTGCTAACCTCAGCATCTCCACAATGTTACCAGTGGCCTTTAACTCTCTGATATCATCATCTCGCACGGGAGCACACAGCTTTCCCATTGTACTGATGACATAGTTGGCCAGGCCTGGGATGTCAACAGCACTGTGCTCAGCCTGTTGTCTAATGAGGTCTGTATCCAAAACTTCACAGATTTGGTTGCGAAGCCGGTTCCCACCAGGAGTAAGAAAAGAGAGAAGAATCTACACAGGGAAAGCAAGAAAAATTAATAGGGTCATTACATGAATAAAGGTTGTCACTCTTCACTTTGTGTCTAGATGGCCAAGCTCCTTGTCCTTATTATAATGTCCCTGATGCCATAGATAGTGCCTTTGCCTGGGAAACATACTAGCATCTCAACTCTAAGAAGAAATCTCTACCTTCTGAATCAAAGGCCCTCACTGTAGGAAATGACTGATTCTATCAGAATGAAAACAACTGGCAAAGATGCTGTATTGCTAAGAGCCCTTCAAAAAAGACTATGGAAGGGCTGGGGTTGTGGCTCAGTGGTACAGTGCTTGCTAGCATGTGCAAGGCCCAGGGTTTGATTCTCAACACCACATAAAAATAAAGAAATAAAATAGAGGTATTATGTCCAACTACAACTAAAAAATAAATATTTTTTTTTAAAAAGACTACAGAAAAGAAGCCCAAATAAGTTGTAGATTATGGCTCCAGAAGAACCCTTGAGAAAGAGTAGATGAAAACACCTATGTGGCCCATTAAGTATCTTTTTCATATAAAATATTATCTGTTAGAAAAACAAACTGTTTACTGAGTCTCCACTACACAGTGGACACTGTGCTTACATACACAGCACATGTCGGGAGCACAGGCTCTAAGCCACAGTGCCCAATTCAATCCCTCTGATCCCTCAAAGCTTTGGGACCCTGGATGAATTACAAAACTTGGTTTCTTTACATAAAATTATAGGAGTAACTACCTCAAAGAGTTACAGTAAAAATAAATGAAAAATTTAGTGCATGATATGAAGCAAGGGCCTTATAAAAGTTAGCTCATTTATTCTTATAACTACCCTGTTAGCACTCAGGAAGCTGAGACTTAGAGCCCATACTAAATTAACCTACCTAACTCCAGAGGCTGTTCTCTAGCCAACACTCTGTGCTCCGCAATGCCCTGGTATCTCTACTGCCCTGTTTTCCCAGCCTCCATCCCACTTCAGAAAGTGCAGGGGAAAACTCTTACTAGTGATGGAGCTCAGTTTTTCAAAAAGTGTGGCCAATACCAAAGGATATGAAATGGTCTTTGCAGGGGGATGGGGTGGGTAATTGCTATAAACAAAATGTGTGTGTCCTTCTCCCCCCAAATTCACATGTTGAAATTCCCAATGAATGATATTAGAGTGAAGCTGTGGGAGATGATAAGGACATAAGGATGAAGTCATCACGAATGCAAAGACCCTATAGAGCTCCTTTCCTTTCTACCATGTGAGGACACAGCAAGAATGTATCCTCTATGAAACAGAAAGCAGGCCCTCACAAGACACCAAATCTGCTGGGGACTAATCATAAGTTTTCTCAGCCTGCAAAACTGTAATAAGTTTCTATTGATTAACAGCCAATTTCTCTATAATATACTATTACAGAAGCCCAAATAGACCAAGATACTAATTCACACAAGCGTCAACTTGCCTCTCGGATTTCTTCAAACAGTTTGATAGCATGTTCATATTCAGGAGGGTCAGCATTTAGTTCTGATTCCAAGACATCCCAGAAGGCCTGGTGAACAATATGCTTCACTTGACCAGCCAAGCTATAGCAAAATAAGAATTATTTTATCTAATTTAAAATAAGAATTATTTTCTCTAATCTTAAAGACTCACTGTAGCAATTTTTAAAAATGCATAAAAAAACAGAGAACAAAATAACCCATAATCCCATTATTAATCTATTGACTTATTTCCCCTGTTCAATACATTGTTTTAGTAGTTAAGAATACCAAGTATGCACAATATTAAATTTTTTTTCATTTAGTATTCTGTCCTGTTTCTGCTAGATTTTAAAAATCTTCATTACCATGGCTTATAATAACTTCATAAAATTCTGTCTTAAGTACATAAGATGATTTAGCTAATTACTCTTCTACATAGATCTTTAGATGTGTTCTAAATTTTAGCAATGAGATGACAAAGTTGTTCTTTCCTCAACAGCTGAAGTTTCATGGCAAGTAACAGAATAGGTTGACCCAAGGGGCATTTTAATGCCTGCCAACTTCTGATTCAATATCCCAGAACAAAACACTGAAAAAGGAAAAGCTTACAATAGAACAGGTGGCCACCTTGCTTTACCCCTATATCAATGTCCTAATAGGTGCACATTAAAATACACATTCCTACACCATTTTGCAACAGCTTTTAGAAAACCACATATTTTCCTGCACTATAATTACTGAATGTGTCTTTTGCCACAGAGCAACATATTTCTCCCAAGTAGAGGACACACTACTTCATCTAGGTACTGCCATTGTACCTAAATGCCTGGCATTTATGGAGCATTCAAGGAATGCATGGTGGATAAATTAATAATTTGACGGTTAAGCATATCTCCTAATTTTCCTTCTTTCATCTTTTTTTTATCCTCAGTGGTTCTGGGTTGAACCCAAGGCCTTGTGTATGTTAGACAAGTGCTTTACCACTGAGTTAGATCCCCAGCCCATTTAGAACATTTTAAAATTTTGAGAACAATTTCACTAAGTTTCCCAGGCTGAACTTGAACTTGCAATTCTCTTGCCTTAGCACCCCAAGTAGCTGGGATTACAGGCATATACCAATGTACCTGGCAAAATCTGCCTTCTTAAAATACAAATAGCTAAGTATATAAAAGGTTATGAGAAATGGAAATCAGCCAAGGAGCATGAATTAAAATTGTTTACATAACTGCTAATGTTATAGTCTACTTAGCAACTTTAAATATTAAAACTTATTCTAGTTGTCCGAGTAAGTTTATTCAATAAAAATGCCACTGCCATTATCTGAGACTCTGCTGTGCAACTACAGAACAATGAAAAAGGCAAACATTGCTGTACAGACTTTTGCTCTTGACTTTACAAGCCACACACACACACACACACACACACACACATATATATATATAGCGTGAAGGAACAACAAGCAATGAGCTAAAACAATTTTATGGTTCTGTAGGGACATCAGAGTTTAAACTGAAGTTTTCCTATATGCTTCAAGACACTTTTTAGCTCTTTAATTTTCAAGAGATTTGGGGGAATGGCAAGAAGGGATATGATCAATCCAAGCATTCCTACTGGGTATTGGAAACCTGACTAATTTTAGCTCAGTTCCCCCCCCCCCAAAGAACTAAATGATAAAATGAGAGAGAGCCATATGTTAAAAAGGAAAAAAAAATGGCCACTGTGAGGATCATCTGAAAATCAACAAATAATTTGCTACTTCATTATTAAACTAAATAATGCATCCTAACTCTATACTTTGTTTTCCATGCTCACTTTTCCTAGCCATGGCAGAAAATGAAGGGAAGAGAGGTTAATATTTTCCACAGTATCAAAGTACTTAAGTACAAGGCACTTTTATGCCAATGATCACACATTTAAAGTGAGTAGCATAATCCTCATCTTATCTTTGGGGAGAGGCTCAGATATAGTCTCAGCAGAGCCAGGATTCAAACCCAGGATCTGCCTGATATCCTAAAGCACCTTCACACTGGCCTTTACTTGTAACTTTTTGTGGGGGGCACTAGGGATTGAACTCAGGGTCACTCAACCCCACTAAGCCACATCCCCAACCCTACTTTGTATTATTTTATTTAGAGACAGGGTCTCACTGAGTTGCTCAATACCTTGCTTTTGCTGAAGGTGGCTTTGAACTTGCGATCCTCCTGTCTCAGCCTCCCAAGCTGCTGGGATTACAGGTGTGCGCCACTGTGCCTGGCTTTACTTGCCACTTTTGAATTCAAAGTACAGATAATCCCAAACTGTCTTTAGTGATACTTCATAAAAATGATTAACTTTAAATTTTTATTTTTATTAGTCAATAATTGTGCACTGAACATCTAATATGTGCTTGGTCCTGTTTTAGGCACTTGAGACACCACAGTAGAAAGAAAGTCTATGCCTCAAAAGGCTTATGCTAGCAGAAATAGACAAAAACACATTAAAATGAGTGGTAGAGCACAAACTTAGAACATGCAAGTCCTGGGTTCAATGCCTAGGTCACACACAGACACATGCGAGCACACACACACACACACATACATACACACACACTCTCTCTCTCTCTCTCTCTCTCTCTCTCACACACACACACACACACACGAAGACTAAGATAATTTCAGAGACATGAGCAGAACACAGTGAGTCAATGTGCGGGACAGTGACAGGGTACTTATTTCACTGAGTAGGTAAAAAAAAATCTTCTAAGGTCACAATGATCTTTGATTTCAGTCTTCAACAGGGAGAAAAAGAAGCTGTATGAAGATCGAGGGCAAAAATACAAAGGAAAAGGGACAAAGTCCTTGAGATAGGATCAAGCTTAGTGTACACCCACATCAGGAAGGAAGCAGGAAGGAACATATTACTAGATAAGGTCTGGGAAGTAGGGCTTTCCAAGCCATCATAGTTTAGATTTTTATTCTTCATGTAATACAAAACCATTGAAAGGCTTTAAGCTAAGAAATGACTTGATCTGATTTATCCTTCAGAAGGATCATAATAGCTACTTTGTGAATATGGAGGAGGACTGGGGCAAGCTAAAAATGAGATGAGGCAAACAGCTGGGACTTAGAGAGTCAGGTCAGAGGGGGCCTAGCTTAGGGAAGAGAGCTGGTATATCATGCAATTACCAAAGAAAACCAAACAGATACACTTTAGCCAGTAATCTTTAAAAATATTAATTTTTAATAACAACATCTCTAGGAGAACTATGAGCAATATATACTCCAAAGAAGAAAAATTATTATACTTACTGGTTTTCCTGCTTTAAAATGAACAAAAAGTTATAAATGGAATCAAATACTATCTATAAGTTATCTTAATTAGAAGAGAGAGAATGCCTCAGGATTAATAATTGCCCCTGTGAGGTTGAAAAACAAACATGCCACTATCCATGCGTTAACTTTACCTTAAAAATAAATGATCTGTAGTAAAGGGCTCAAGCCTTTTTTTCCCTCTTTGTCCCAGAGGAACTGGAGCCACTGATGCCAGAGGCTAGGTAAGATATAAGAGTGCAGCTCTAACTAAAGGTCCCTGGAAATGGGATTAACCAAGAAATACCCGCTGGTGGCTGTAATTCCTACCTACAAGTGCGCTGGGTTGCCTATCCTTAAACTCTGGCAGTTCAGTTGCATTTATTTATTCTTTACAACTTGGGTATCAGTTTTTAAATTTTTTTTATTTGTTCTTTTTAGTTATACATGACAGAAGAATGTATTTTAACAAATTATACATATATGAAGTATAATTTCCTATTCTTGTGGCTGTACATGATGTGGAGTTACATGGTCGTGGTGTATTCACATAAGAACATAGTAAAGTTAGGTTCAATTCATTCTACTGTCTTTCCCATTCCCATACCCCTTCCCTTCCCTTCATTCTGAATATCAGGGTTTTTAAAAATTTTTTTTTAGTTGTAGATGGACACAATATCTTTATTTTTATTTATTTTATGTGATGCTGAGGATTGAACTCAGGGCCTCACACGTGGGAGGCAAGTGCTCTACCACTCAGCTACAACCCCAGCCCAGTTTTTAATAAACAAAACAGCCAATATTTCTTGAGTGTGTACTATAGGTCACACAGTATCTAAGGCAATCCAGATAAAGCAACAAACAATACAGGCATAGTTCTGCAATTGATGGTGCTTTCAATCAAGTGGGGAAGATGAACACTGAACATAAAATTTATAAGGTTTTTGTTTTTGTTTTTGCAGTGCTGGGGACCAGGGCCTTATGCATTCTAGGAATGTGCTCTACCTCTAAACTGCATCCCCAGACCAAAATTATAAGATTTCTTCACAAAGGGGAAGTGGTGGAGGCTATAGCAAGAGAATTAACTGTAGTTTAGGGGGTTCAGGAAAATAAGAAAAGCTTTCCTCAGGAAGTGACATATAACTGAGAAATTATACAATCCTACAGAAATTTTTTAAAAATATAAGACCTTGTTAGGGAACTAAACAAGTTTATCTCCTGTGGATATTACACAAGAACTTCCAGGAATCAGTATGAAATACACACACACACACACACACACACACACACACAATTTCAGCATTGTTTATGCACAACAAAGGTCTATGGGTCACCTGTTCTCAGGGACAGCATCTTGTTTCAATTCAAAGTTCTCGTTTACAGCAATCTCATGAGCAAGAGTCATGTTGGATAAGTTCCTTGCTGCAGTCATCACTTCATCAAATGTCACAACTCTGGGAGGGCTTGTTGCTGAAAGAAAAACAAAAGTCAGTCAATGCTATAGAAGAGAAATTGTCACCCAATAAAGCCATCTGATGTAGACAAGGTTTAATTTATTCCTACGTATACTTCATGGTTTTATAAGCAGAAAGAATATAAACAAAATAGGTGGATTCACTCACTTTAATAAAGACTTGAAAAATAGTTTCAGGTGCTATATTTAATAATAAATTTTTATTTGATAATAAATTTTCAAATGTTTGTAAGACAAGCTTATTAAAATATGCCTATTATAACTTATTTTTAAAAATTAAATCATCTTATTTTTGGTATTTGCCTTTATTTACATATATTATACAGAGACTGATGATTTTTTAATTTGGTAATTAAGAATTCTCATTTATTTAAGTAAATTCAATATGAAATACTTGTTTATAAAAATATAATTTCTAAATGTATAGACAGTATAACATAAGGTTTAAATTCAATCCTAAGATTTTCCTGCTTGTAGTTATCCTTTGACTTCACTGAGATATAGGTAACCTCCTATGAAGGCTGGCCTAGGATTAAACAATATAAGTGAAGAAGAATATAGTAAGAGCTCAATAAATCATTAAAGAAAATAAAGTATATCAGAGAAGGTGGATAATTTTCCTCTCAGTAGGAAAGTTATAATAATCTGAGTTATTTCTAGTGATTTTACTATGAAAGTATTATAATAAATCATGTTTATAAAATTAGTTGGAAATCTTAGCTTCTGTTAAAAATCATGATCTTGAACAATAGGAATGATGTAATATTTTGTTACTTAATTTTTAACAAAGGTGGGGAGAGGAGAAGAGAGGAAGAGGATGGGAAAGGAGGAGGACAAAGAAAGGTGAAACAGAATAACATCAAAATTCTTCTTCAGGACTATCTGTGTACCCTGTTATCGGATGCATGAACCTTATATATAAAACGTCAAGAATAAGAAAAAACAGAGTGCTGGGTTGTGGCTTAATGGTAGAGCACTTGCCTAGCATGTGTGAGGCACTGGGTTTGATTCTTAGCATCACATATAAATAAGTGAACAAAACAAAGGTCTATCAACAACTAAAAAAAATTAATTAAAAAGAAAAAGAAAAACACAGAAACTTGAGGTGGCTGCTGTTAATTCTTTTGTCAACTCTACCACAAGATTCTCCTTAAAAATGGCTGTATCCTTTGGCCCAGTAATCCAATGATATCCAAAGTAATTTCCAGAAAGGCTTCATGAACCAAATAAAACACTATTTATAACAGCAAAAACCAAATGGAAGGGGCTGGGGATGTGGCTCAAGTGGTAGCGCGCTTGCCTGGCATGCATGCGGCCCGGGTTCGATCCTCAGCACCACATACAAACAAAGATGTTGTGTCCGCAAAGATGTTGTGATAACTGAAAAATAAATATTAAAAAAAAATGGAAACTAACCCTTTCTTGTGGGTAGTGCTAGGGATCAAACCCAAGCCTTTATGCATGCAAGGCAAACACTCTACCACTGAGCCACATCCCCAGTCCACAAAATGGAACTAAATGTTCAATAATAATGGGTAAGTAAATTTATGGTCTATTCTCTTGAAGTAAGCAATCATAAAGAAAGTTTAGAAAATATATTATCACAAGTAAATGTTTTAGTTATACAACTAAGTAACAAGATTCCATATATGTATATACATCTGTGTAAAGGATAAAGATGGCAAAGTGCTGCCAGCTATAGTCTTTGGATGATACTGTAGGCAACAGTTTCTTTTTTCTATACTAACGTATTTTCCAAGTTTTTAAAATAAAAAACATAAAAATTTTAAATACAAATGAACAAGTATTTTTAATCTATTAAACATCAGTTGCCTTTTTTCTATATTTACCTTGTCTGTTTAAGCTGTTGTACTTCCTAGACAAAGAGGCTAATGAAAAATCTTAAAAAAAAAAAAAAGCAAACACACCTGCTTAACACATCTCCAGTGTCCACATACAAAAAAGGAAAAAGCTGTCTTCCTTTGCTACTCTTTCAATTCTTTCACATAACCCTGGTGTAGTAATTCTCCTTAAGGGCCCCTTTCTGAGTGACTTGCACAACAGGGTTTGCAATTAGCAGGAAATCTCTTAGAATATCTCACTTCCTGCCTGATGCTTCCATAAGGGCATGTTTCCTTAAATGTGAATCAGAAAACAATCTGGTTTGTTTGTTTGTTTTAATTTGTCCAAGAAGTAATCACAAGAAGGAGTAGCTTTCTATCGTTTGGGAGAAAAGAGTGGGGTGAGGAGCCTGATTTATATCAAACCAAAGCAGACTAGAGACACTGATCAAAATAAAAATCAGCAGGTTGTGAGCTTTCGTGGCCATTTCTGAGAACATACACAAAATAGCTGCAGTCCCCCTGCAGTGCTATGCTGGTACACCAAGAAATGAGGGTTAAGTCTGGGCTTTGCCCTCCACCATTGTTGAGTTTTCAAATCCAACATACTCTACAAACACCCCACCACCCTCAGTCCCGCTCCCCTGTGGGCTCACAAACAGGAGAGCTGGATTTGCTGGAGGAATCACTTGTGAAGCTCTGTCTGGAGCACTCATAGTCACTGAGTGAAGCCATGCTCTCGGAAAACCGTGAAGAATCTGAATCACTTGGATGGTCCTCGCCCACACATTGCTTCTCATCATTGAATGGCATTTTGTGTTACTTGAGTATGGATAAAGAGAGAACACCTGTACAGACAAACAGACCCTGCATCAACATTCTGGGGGCACTTCCGTTGGTACCAGTATGGACAACTATACCCACAAGTTTAACAGTGTTGAAAAGCTTCCAGAATATTACCGTGTCCCTCCCCTAACACCCCAGCCAGGCAGTCACAAGGCTATCAAGAATGCCTTCCAGAAAAGGGATTCCACACTCATCAATGTGAGCTGACTCAGGACATAACCAGTATGATTGCGGAGCAGCTCTAAGCAATGACATATTCTTTAAAACAATATGCTAAAGCCGGGAGCAGTGGCGCATGCCTGTAATCCCACTGGCTCAGGAGGCTGAGACAGAAGGATCAGGAGTTTAAAGCCAGCCTCAGCAAAAGCAAGGTGCTAAGCAACTCAGTGAGACCCTATCTCTAAATAAAACACAAATTAGGGCTAGGGATGTGGCTCAGTGGTTGAGTGCCCCTGAGTTCAATTCTCGGTATTGCCCCCCCCCACCACCAAATAAATAAAAATATATATGCTAAGACATGGGAAGGTAAGAGAAAGCAGGGCTCTGGGAGGGGTCATATTGCTCTTTCTGCCTTGGGGAGGTCACTTTACCCCCACCTCATCAGTGAAACTGGACTGGAAGACTGACCTCATAGTGTACTTGAGCACTGAATAGGACAAATCTCATTACAGTGCCTGGCACAGCAATCAAATGTTACTTATTATTGCTTTAAATAAAATAGTTTTGAAAGTAGACTCTTCGTGCTCTCTATGAGCTTCTTGGGAGAAGGAAAGACTAATCTCTGGCTGGTCTTTAGCCTTTCCTCTTCCACTTTCACATGAATTGCCACAACACGAAGAATAAGACCTACCATTTGGTTTGTACGAAGTAGCTATCACCACTCAATGAGTGAGCAGGCACATAGGATGGTGATTCACAGAACAGGGGCACAGACTTGAGAGACAAGGGGACTTACTGTACCACAGAACCAATCCCTTGAATCTAAACTGAGTGCTGTTTCTGGGATATCAGACTGCCTACCAGGGAAGGGAGTCAGGCCTGGGCACAACCCAGAAAGATCATGGGCACAAAGAATGACCAGGAGCAAGGCCTGTGAGGAAGCTGGCCTTGATATGTGTGGTGTCAGCTGACACAAAAAGAAAATTTGGGCTCAAGGAGAAAGGCACCTCAAATCCTGAATGGGCAATGATAGGAAGAATTCACTGCATCCCTTTAAATCTGAACCATCCCATGCAACAGAGGATACAGAACTTTTAAAACTGCCAGAATGTGAAGCCTAACTATGCAGAATAAAATCAGTGGAAATGCCTGCAGGTTCTGCGATGATTCCAGTTACTGAGTGCTTACAGTGCACCCAGCAGCAGACACCAGGAAGAGTTAACAGTAAACAAAATAGATAGGGCCCTACTCTCATGGTTCTCAAGTCCAGTTACGCAAAACTGTGCATGTCAAATGCTAGAGGAGAAAAGGAAAATAAGGCATTGTTGAGAAAACATGAGAAAGAAAAGGGAGGACTGGAACTCGGGAGGGGGAAGGCGCTAGACTTTGTTGAGAGAAACAGCCAATTTTTATTCCTTGGGTGGTGACAGAAACAAGAAAGAGTCTGAGAGGATACACCAGGTGTGAAAAGCCCAAGGGCATCTGCATACTGCCTCACCTAACAACTTTCAGTCCTAACACAGAAATGCATCCTTGCCCAGGCCACCACTTTTCTTTTGGTGGGGGGGGCGGGGGGAGGACATTGGGAATTGAACCCAGGGATGCTTTGCCACTGAGCTATATCTCCCCAACCCCCTTTTAAAATATTTTTTATTTCAAGACAGGGTCTTGTTAATTTGCTGAGGCTAGCCTCAAACTCGTGATCCTCCTGCCTCAGGCTTCTGAGTCTGATTATAGGCATGCATGTTCAGCTCCAGGCCACCAATTTTGCAAGGAGAAAACCCCTACCTGCCTCTGCAGACTAAAGGAAATGGTGTGGACTGCAGCTGCCAGGAAGCACTCTACCCTATCTTAGAATCCTAAGCTAATCACCAAGAACACAGGATATAAAATAGCCCTGGACCCTTACACCTTTAGTGGTGAAATAACCTACTCTACCCTGGGACAACCAGCCTCTACCTGAGTTTTAACTCCAACCTGCTGATGGAAGGGGAGAGGAGACAGAAGAAAAAGGGTTGCTATAACCCTTTTACTGCCACCAAACCCTAAATCCTAAATGGAAACCCCTCTAATTTGCTACATCCCTCGTTGCCAACATTTTACTTCCCATTGACGGTAATCTTGAAAATATACCTTCTTGGGGAAGCCTCCCTCCACCCTCCCACCAGAGCTCTTGGTACTCCCTTGAGTACATGTGCAGCACATATCCACAAAAGCACTTGTATGGTTATTTTCTTCCCATGGCTACTTCCGAATCTGCTTAATAAGGCAGACACTGAGTCTTGTTCACCACCAGTGCCAAGTATATGACAAGTATTCATTCAGTGTCAACTGAATCACAATCATTGAATTCCATTTGGTACAGCTTCAACTAGAACATTTGCAAGCTGATACCACTACATATTTACATGCCTGGTACTGCCAAAGTCCAAGCCCCAGTGCAGGGAATGTACTACTTAAGCCTAGTTTATTAGATTTAAAACTCAAATTCCCAGGTCTCTGTCACACTCTCATTTAAATATTTTAAAGTTTGTTTCTACCTTTTATTTTTTCCTTCAGTCATCTCCCCGCAATGTAACAACTTGGCTCTGCTCTTGATTTTCACCACTACAGCTGCCTCAAATGAGTATCTCTGGCTGTTTTTCCAAGTACAAGTGAATAAAAGCTTTCATCCATGGGAATGTATGAACTAGGTTAACAGTTATTACTGTCCATTATATTCTACCACAGCTGGACAGAACATTTGGTAGGTTTCTTAATTGTATTTAACAAGGCAACCAATTGCAAAGATTTAAAAAATAAAAAAGCTCTAGGTTAGGAATTAGAAATCCAGGGTTTGGGGCATATGTCGGTCATTAATTTGCTACGTGACTTCACTCATACCACATCTTCTCTCCTCACTTCATTTTTCTAAGAGGATTGGGTCAGTTATAGAGTTTCTTTCAGCTCGAAATTGTTAAAATGCTCCAAACCACAGTTCTATGAGGCATCACTAGAAGCTCTAATAAATTAAATATGCTCAGAGCAGGCATGTTTAATTGCTTGCCACTGCATGCCACTACACTTTCTGCCAGCAAGTTACTAGAGGTAAAATTCCTAGCACAGGGGATGCAACAGAAAAGTTTAAAGCTTTGCAATGTTTAGAAATACTTGGTAGAAGCCTTCCCATTATAACTGGGACTTAGTGTATCTAAGCCCAAAAGCCTGTCTTTGAAGATGCTTATTATTACTCTACTAGAAAATTATCCATTTCCTCTTATGGGAATATTGATAATGCCTGATTCTTAGGGCTGGGGTGAGAATCCACAGTAAATCTAGAGAGAGTACTCAGCACAGTGTCTGACACAGAATAAACAGGATACAGAGGTTTGCTTATGATTACATGCTTGTTTGTTAATATTATCACCTCAGGCGTTAAAAACTGAAGGGGAAAACAGTTTTACTCCAGGACAACAAAAGCATGTTCCCTTACAGATACACAAGGCTGGTAGTCACCCTAGGAGAGAACTCTTACATGTGTCTGAAATACAAAACACAAAAGCAAATGGCCCATCACAGTGTGCATGGTCCTCTGCTAGTCCTTCTCACCTACTCTTACCCTTCTTGGTCTTGAGTTTCCATTTAAGTCATCTAGGGACAAAGCTACTTGACTCAAAAGCCACTGAGGGTAATTAGATTGCTTTTTAAAGTATTTTGGGTCCCCTCTTAGGCTGGTAATGATAAAACTAGGCTTTTTTAAAAAGAAACATAATAGTTCTCATACTCACAAACTTAGATCTACCTAACTTTCACCAATGCAATTTACAGGTAAATCAAACAACTTTTCAGGAATACCACATCTCATCCTACCTGGAGGCTCACTCACTGGTCAAAGGTAAAGACAAAAGGTTGCTCCAAGCAAAGCCTCCAACACTACAGTGGATCACTAGTCAAAGCAAATGAAGTACCACATTTCATATCTGTATTGTACTACTCTGTTCTTTAATAATAATAAATACAGTCTTTTGACATTTTGAGGCCAATGACTCAAAGGCAGTCAGGCACTGAAATATTGCATAATAAATGAACAGATGAATGAATGGCAGTGTAACTACTGACATCTTAGAGAAGAGGGACCTTAAGGGTCAAGTCATGCTTCCTCCCACAGACTCCGATTCCTCAGCCTATGTCCTACTTTACTTTTTCATTTCCTCTCTGCAGCAAACTATAAGTGGTCCTGTACTGGTGTGAGATTGTAAAGATATGCCAGTGATAATATGCATTTCACTGACATAGGAAGAACAGTAGCTAACCCACTGAACTGGGTTTTTAATCCCAGCTCTTGATATTTACTAACTAGAGAGAGGGAACTTACCATTTGTGTAATAATAATAGTAATAATAATAATAATAATAATAATAGTATCTACCCTGTAGAATTGTTGTAAATATTAACTGAAATAATCTATGTCAAATACTTAAGTTCCTAGTAAGGGCCTAAAGATGTCAACTATTATTTTAGTCTTATTAAAATAAGTTAAAGGTCAATGTCATAAAAAACAAAAGCTGAGGATATGTTCCAGATGAAGATACTTGATAACTGCTGTGATTTGAGGATGACTCCAAAAAAGCATATTTTGGAAACTTAATCCCAATGCAATACTGTTAGGAGGTGGGACCCACCACAGGTGCTTAGGTCATGAGGGGTCCATGCTCATGAATGGATTAAAGCCAATTACAGAGAGCATGAGGCCATGAGTTCAATCTCCGTGCTTTCTCTTGCCCATGTGATGCCTTCGGTTATGTTATGATTCAGCAAGAAGGCCCTCATCAGATGCTGGCCCCCTAATCTTGGGATTCTGAGCCTCAAGACTATGGGCTAAATAAATTTCTGTTTGTCATAAATTACCTAGTCTATGGTATTCTGTTATAGCAGCACAAAATGAACTAAGGTATAGATTCTGCACTGGACAAAATAAATGTGATCAAGAACATAGTTAGAATACTTGAATCTGTTATTTGTATTCTACCATTAAATATATTAAAGTGATAAATGGACTATGGTTGTTTTAAAAAGGACCTTGATGTATGCAATTTTCTCTCAAATGATACAAAAGAGAAAAAAACAACAAAACATATGGAGAAAAATGTATTAGGTGAATCTGACTTGCAGTGGACAACAAGATGTTTGAACTATTTTTGGAATTTTTTTCTGTAAGTCTGATAGTATTTCTAGACAGCCAAACTTGTCCTAAAGCCCATCTTCAACAGTGCTTGGAAAATAAAACAATAAATAAGCCAGAGTCCTTCAGAAGGGGCAAATAAATTCACTCCCAGGTGATTTCCCTTTACTTACAAGATTATCTTGGCTGTGGTTTACAATTTCTTTGTGATCTGGCCTCTGCCTACTTCATCCTGCTCCACTCCCCCCTAACTTAGACACAGTGACCTTCATTGGGTCCTGCAGACATGTACAGCTTCCTACTTTGGAGCCTTTGCACCTTTTATTTTCTCCCCCTGGGATGTTACTCTTCCTGATCTCCACATGGTTGGCTCCTTGTTGTCCTTCATATTAGAAATTTATTATCACAATTTCAAGGTGAACTTCCCTGGAGACCCTACCACTTACCTCATCTACATTAGCCTTCTAGAGTAGAGCTTGGCACACCACTTGGGATATAGTCTGGGCTCAACAAATGTTGTTGTATGAACAAAGTAAGCCACAGTCCTATTCATAAGACAACTTGGATTTTCGTTCTCTTCTACCCCAATCACATTACTCATATTTATTATGTAGTCACTTAAACTATTATAGTTATCTGCATATCTTTCTCCCTGCTAAATTTTAAGCTGCTTGTGGTAAGAAGCTATGCCTCCCTTCTCCAATTCCCAGTGCCTTCTTCAACACATTTACAAGGCATCAATAATTCAAGCTAGCAAAGACTTAGTTTCAGGAGTTTAAAGAAAATTTTTACATGGTGTCTTTCTACTCTCCTAAAAGCACTGAAACCAAATAATAACAATTAGGGCTAACAGTCATGGAGTGCTTATTATAATCTCAATATATGCACTCAGTATTTTATAAGTGTTTTAAATATTTTACCTCCTTGGGTCCTCATTATAGCCTTATAAGCTAAGATACTATTCACATTTTATAATAAGAACCTGAGGCTCAGAGAGATTGCATTACTTCCCCAAGGGTGCACAGCAATGCAGAGGCACAAGTTAAATCTAGACATTGAAACCCTAAAGCCCATGCACTCTATTACTCCAGGATGGCTGGAGAAAATTCAGTGTGCTGCTCATTCTTTCCATTCCCACTCTGCCAAATTGATCTATCTACTACCACGTGGACACTTGCACATGTGATAGGAAGCTGACCTTACTCTGGGATGGCTGCTCAAGTACTATACAGTGAAGGGCATTACTGAGAGAGTTCACTGTCCAAAATAACTCTCAACCACCCCACTAGAGTGACTCAAAATCCTGTATCAGGGAACCAATCCTTATGTACAGCAAAATCCCTAGAGCCTAAATATGATCCGAAAGGTTAACTGCTTACAGCTAGCATGAGTCATAAACATTTTGCAGTGAATTATTCAGATTACCCAGCAGAGTTCTGAGGAATGGAACCCATCCAGTTAAGGTTAGGTTATGGAACAGAGAAATTTCAAGGAACATCTAAGGGGTATACTCCTTCAAGACCAGATCAAGGTCAGATGGAAGGTACACACGTTCACGTATATGTAGTAAAGGGCAGGAGGGGGTCAGAAGAGTAAGACTAGGCTCTTATAACAAAATTGGAGATGCTGGAAAATGACCATCTTCTGCAAAATGCTGCTTTAGAACCAGTCCCAAATAGCAGCATTAAAGTTATTCACGCATAGCAAAGCAAAACCACAGAGCACAGAGATAGGTGCCTGCACTATTCAACTAGACAATACTGGTCTTCATCAAATTAGAACCAACAAAGAGCTAGATAAAAACCAACAAGCCAGTCACTGTCTAAAAAGCAGATGTTCATGCTACACATGGCATTACAGCATCAGGGAGAAGGATTTCTAGGCACTTTTCATAATTGAAAGCACTCTCCCCACACCCCTGATGGCCCGTTTTAATACCTGTACTCCCCCCTAAAGGGTCCTCAACCCTCACAAAATGGCATTGATGCTGCTTCTACACATGACTGGGTATCTTCAGCCCTGGGCCATTTTAAGCCAGACAACCTCCACTAGCTGAGAGGCTGATTATGAAATCTCTTCTAGGGTCAAGAGGAAAGGGCTGACAGGCAGCCAGGCAGGCAGGCAGGCGGGGGGCAGGGAGCCTCCTAAAGTGGGAACCACTGAGATAACCTCATTATCTGTTGGCAGGTAGGAAGGGCAAGATCTCTGGACTGGAGACCAGAGGGGTTGGGGGCTCACTAGGGCCAAGGACACTTTGTCTTGTTTCTTCCTGGTCAAGGTAGGACAGTCATCTAGGAGAAAATTCCCCAAACTTGAGTCCTTTGACCAGGCATCGCAACTGTACCCCCTGTCTCCATCTTCTACTTCCAATAATTTGGCAAACGATTATCTTGATTAGATATTTGCACTTAAATACGTTTATTTTAAAAGGAAAACTTTGTACCATCAAGAAATCGCTTCGTTTAATGGAGCAGTTTTCCATCTTACTAACAAAAACACGTAACTATGTTTATCCACGTGCCACCAAATCATCTCTGCTACTCTCCGCGGTGCCAGCTCAAGGAGCAGCTTTGGGAAGCACAAAGCTATCCCTGCGAGGTCCAGGGTTGGAGCCCAAGCCGGCCAGTGTTTCCACGCCTCCTCCCGGCGAGGGGCAAGTCCAGAGGACTCACCCGGAGGCCACCCCTCCCTCCAGGAGTACCACGTTTCCTGTCAAAACAAACCCGAGGAGGAGGGGACGGCGGAGGCAGAGCCGAGTGCCCGGGAAACCCCGGCAACAAACCCCAAACACTCGCCGCGGGCCCCGCCCGGCCGGGGAAGGGGCCTCCGCAGCCCCGGTGGAAAGCCGCCCGCGGAGCAGGCGCTGGCCCCGGCCCGGCGGGCTGTGAGCGGCGCCGAAATGCCCGGACCCCGCCGCCTCAGGGTCCGGCAGCCCGCGGCCACTCGCGTGCGCGTCCCGCTCCCACGCGGGACGGCAGTTCTAGGTCAAACGGGGACAGGGACGGGGTCGGGGTGAGGGGTCAAGCTTGTTGGTTCCTGGGCCCCGCGGTCTCAGGACGGCGTTCCGAGGTGGAGCGGGGAGGCCTGGGCTGCCCTGGGTTGAGCTGTCCCCTCTCGGGCCCTAGCTCATTACTTCACAGACCGAGACCCCTCCCCGGGGAAGGATACGCACCGAGTCCGGCGCGGAGACAGGAGGAAGGAGACGAAGTGCCCCGAAACCAGGGGTCTCAGGGAGTCCCCCAACCAAGCGCCGCACTACCTCGGAACTCCTCACCTCAACAACTCCAGCCCCTCGGCACCGTCCCCCCCGCCCCTACACGCGGTATTTAAAGGGCCCTGAGAGACTCCAGAGAAGAGGCCACCACAAAACCCGCAAGAGGGGGGATGACGGAGCGGCGGAGCCGGGAAAGGCAAGTCATTTCAGGCTCCTAAAGCCGAATTCGCACATAATTAACCTAAGATCCAAAGAATATGCCCGATGTTCGTATGGGAAAGGGTGAAGACAGCTCGGGATGGAGGCCGTTTCGTATGCGAGAAGGATGCTCCCCCGCGCAACGAGTGGTACGGTCCGAACTGCGCGGGGCGGGGAGAGGAGTGTTTACGGAACTGGGGCAGCCTTACGGTGGGAAGGGCCGGACGTTGGGGGCGGGGCCTAGCGGGGGCGGGGCCAGGGAAGTGCTCGAGTCCTCTGTCCAAGGCTGGATGCTTCGCAGGCTCAGTGAACCGTGCTGTCAGATCCTTGCCCCTCCTGAAACTTTCAGAACCGTCACACCTCTTATCTAGACCTGGCACACTCAGCTAGGTGCCCATCACCGCACTGCATACACACACAAACACACACAGAGACCAGCAAACCGAAAACGTCACAAGTGGACTTTCCCAAGCACTTCAGAGACTCACCAAGTCATCCACATTTGTGTCTGCATCTCCATTTAAAAACACGCTTTCAGATTTGCACCTGGATGCTACGATTAGCCCCTGGGAACCACACCTACCCAGGATCTCGGAAGACTTCGTGTGCGTGCAAAAGATAAAGCTTCATACTTCCTCTAGGGTTCTTTGGCAGCGCCTATCTCTGGGGAGAAGTTTCAACTTGGGTTAATGTAAATAACCAGCTATAGGAGAGGTTCTGTGCGGTCAGGCTGCAGTTCATCTCTTGTGAGCTCGCTTCAGGGCATACAAGAAACATTCTCCCCACCATACACATGAAAACCACTATGTCTACTGCCAGAGGTAAATGACTATTACTTGGGAGGCAGTTTCACGCAGGAATGTTAGTAGATTGTGTAAAGGCCTAGGTGTTTCTGCTTAGTGCTGAAATCATATCTGGATTGTGAAGGCAAATTGGCCAGCACTGTTGTAGAAAGAAAGAAAAAGAAAATCAAAAGCAGACTGGCAACATTTTAAAGCAGGATAGAAATCCTGGTTTTTCAGTGGTTATGACATGGATTCTTCTTAGGTTCAAACCCTGCCTCTGATATTTACTACCCATGTGATCTTGGTCATTGAGAGTAACAATAACTGTTCCATTGGGTTATTATGAGGGTTATTATGAGGAGGAATTGAGATGAAGTATGTAACATGCTTAGTGGTGTACACAGTAAGCACTCAATCAGTGTTAGTTTTTGAAACTATTTGGCAAACCACTCTGAACAAACTTAGCTGCTAATCTGTAGAGATTTATATGTGTTTTCTTTTGTCACTCCTTCTAAAATATACAACCATCTGATACAGATCAAGAGATTAAAAAGAAAATGTCGTTACCACCCAGGTTTTTCCTACAAACACACCCTTATTTATATCATTTGTTGGAATGCGCAGATGACAGAAGTCTCCAATTTAAATTCTTGCCAAATAACAACCACCACACAACTGCCATCACCACCATAAAAGCTCCACAATAGAAAGATTAGCCAAAAATATCCCCAAACTGCTGGTAACTCTGTGACAATGACACATTGCAGCATTGCTTCCTTTGTAGCTTTGTAGGAATGTGTAATGTATTATTTTGTGCTGTGACATAACCTGGGACAGGTGGACATGAGTCAAGGTAGTTGTCCAGTCTACCTAGGTGACCATCTGCCTGACCCTAGCTATGACACTTATTTTAAAGCTCAAATATGTAACTCTCAAAGCCACAAGGAAGCAATTTTTGTCAAAGCAGATGAGTCACATTTCAGCTTGTGTAAGAATCTTAAGTTGGAAGAGGTGGTATAACATCACAGACCCAAGTTGGGACACAGAGAGATCCTGGAAACACAATCTTCTGTCGCTTTAATGTTAAATAACTTGCTATCTTAAAATCCTTTGGTGAATTACCTGACCAACTGCTTTCAGCTAGGCTTGTTTGTAAAAGCACTTTGAAATAATATAGCCCTATAAAATATAAGGCAGTTCCCTTTAAAAATGAGCCTTATATCAATCACATCCTTGCTCACAGAACTCAGAGAGTTGTAAAATAATATCCTCCCTGCTCAGGTGATGTTCCTGATCTTCTGGGGGGAAAATATTCTGAAAAGTTGGCCTCTTTATTAAGCAAAATAATTAGTATTTTATTTAAAGAAGACATATTATTGCACCTAATTTTCATAACTTACCTTTTTGAATTATTTAGAAAACTCATGGTAATATAAATTCCACAAGAGATCAAATTTGGTCTAAGAGCAAAAGACTAAGGGCAGATTAATATTTTTTTGTTTGATAAAGACATGAATAATCATTTTCTTTTTACATATCTGAAGTGTGAGTTTTAAATTACAAGGAATTCTTTAACAAATCAGAAAATGCAAAAATGTATATTGTCATATGAATTTGCAACTTCTCAAACATTTGGCTTTTCTGATGGAGTTACATCATGTGCAGATTTAATATCATGCATACAAACTCAGTTATACATACTCAATTAGCATGGGGACTGGGAAGCACAAGATTTAAACATTTAAAGATTTAGTGGTCTTACCTACTATTTCCTCCTATGGAAATCCTGAGGCCTCTCATTGTGTTCCCAGGCTGTTATTTGGGGCTGGCTTCTTGGTCTACAACCTGTGCATTTGTCCAATACCTTACTCTTCAAAGAACACTGTGCTTGGTTTCATGCTCCACTACTGATATTTTAAATTCTTAATCCTTTTTAAACAAGGGGCCCCTGCATTCTCATTTTGCCTTGGACCCCAACAAATGATGTAACTAACTGGTCCTAACCTCACCATACAGAATATGAACCCAGTGTTTTTTTTTTTTTTTAATATTTATTTTTTAATTCTCGGCGGACTCATGTTTGTTTGTATGTGGTGCTGAGGCTCGAACCCGGGCCCCATGCATGCCAGGCGAGCGCGCTACCGCTTGAGCCACATCCCCAGCCCCGAACCCAGTGTTTTTAAAGTCACTTTGTCCCACTAAGCTGCCCCCAAATGTAAATCTACTATTTCATCTAGTATTCAGTTGGAGAAACATATCTGTGTCGATGCCGAAGGAAAACAAACAAACAAAAACATGTTGTATGGCTCATTAAAGCAGTTTTAAAGAGTAGTTTTGACTGTACATGATTTTGACCTTATGTTCTCCCCTTATAGCCTAACAGCTCACGTAAGATGTGACTCCACTGTAAAAACGAAAGATTAAATGGAATCTCATCTCTTTCTCTCTCCTCAGTCATCTTAAGGTGCTAGGAAAGGGTTAAAAAAATCACTAAGGGGAAGAGAGATGCAATTGAAAGCAGAAAGAAGAAAAAGAATGCAGCTTATACACATATCATATAGGTCACTGCATGTTTAAAGATCAGCTGCATACCTTCTGCTCAAATTTGCTGTGAAAGAAAAACTGCTCTAAAAAAAAAAGAGGCTATTAAAAATAAATAACCACATCTTCTTGGCAAATCCCATTGTTCTCTTTCTTTTGGTCTTGAAGATAAGGCAGATTTAAGTCATTGGTCAGTTTGACTATTACTTGACATTTGATCAATTTCCCAAAGCACCACAACCAGTTTTTCCCATGATTCCACTGAACTGAATTAGTATAAGATTGGAAGTTTACTTCTCATTCCAGTTGCTTGTACCCTCAACATTTAGACACTGCCCAGACCCTGATCCTGTCAGATGCGAAAAAAGACAAGTGCCTTCCCCATCCCTCGAGGCTCCTTCCACTTACCTGGCCACCACTGTTCTCCTCTGGAAAGTAAAAACAAGAATGACAACCAGCAGCAAGGACAGCTCAGTAGGAAGCCGGGTAGGAAGTGGGAGGAGCCCAGAGCACTTGAGGGAGGTCAGAGAGGTGATGGTGAGGGACAAATCCCTCTCATGAGTCCACCTCTTGGCCAGCAGGTAAACTTTTTCTAAGCAACGTTTGTGGGTGACCATTTTAGGCTCTCACTTTTAAAATCAAGTGGAATGCCCAATGGAATGGAAAACAGCTTCTAAAATAAGGTGCAAAACGCAGAAGACATAAAGGCAAGATTAGTAAATATGACTCTTCAGATACAGAATGCAACATAAAAACATGAATTACAGAACAATGATTACAGGGTAAGGCTATGTATGCTGGAAAGAGCCCACAGTAGAGACAGCATGCGTGCATCCCATATGAAATGTGTAAAAAGGGACAAAAGACCCTCCAAACTGATTAGGAGGCAAGATGGAAATGTTCCCAATTCATTCTCTATACCTTCAAATAGTTCTTTTACAATGAGAATATACTCATTCATTGTAGCATAATTTCACACAGCCATACCATGATGCCACTCTTATCATTGTGTGTTCTCCTAAGTATACCTCGGTGGAGATAAGCTATCAACACTTCACGATATTTTCCTATTTCCTTTGTATACATACTTAAGACAGTCATGATAACCAATGGAGCTTTTCACATAAAGTATATAAAGGAATCTGTTTGGAAAAGGTCCCTCTCTATGGTATGTCAAAATTATTTATGCCGGTTGGGGGAATATTGATTCTTAATTTTTAGGTTATTCTCTTTAAGCCCTATTCCTAGATAGCCAAAGTACACGGACTTTACTTTCATTTTAAACATGTTTATGTCCCAACTTCTGACCTCCAAGGCCTTCCTTTCTTTCATGACTAGATAAGCATCCTTTCCCAAAGTGGTATGGACTTGGATTATTATATTACTTTTTTTTTTTTTTTGCACTGGAGAATAAACCCAGGGTGCTTAACCACTGAGCAACATCTCCAGTCCTTTTAAAAAATATTTTGTTTAGGGCTGGCTGGGGTTGTGGCCCAATGGTAGAGCACTCCTCTAGCACATGTGAGACCCTGGGTTCGATCCTCAGCACCACATAAAAATAAATAAATAAAATAAAGATATTGTGCCCAACT